TCACAAAAGTGCGATAGATAAATCTCTGATGGTTGGTATCATTTCCAAGGAGCTGCTGGAACAAAAATGCAAACCACTTGTCCACCATTTAAAAGGTTTGGAGCTAACACTCAAAACTGGTGAAATGGTTTTCATTCCATAGTAGCTGAGGGTCAAGTTACCAAGCAGGCTAGGTCTACATGTGCTTTCACCAAGCTTCAAACTGTTTCACTTGTCCACCGACATCCAAGTGAGAAACTTTCATCTTGCCGAAAGGACCTCGAGACCCAAGCTGACTGACCTTGCTTGCAAATTCGATCTTCTTGGCTTTCACAACAACAATTTTTTTTCTCGAAATCATACAGCACTTAGCTTAAGAAAACAAAATAAGAATATAAAGACTGTTGATCAAAGGTCGCCCATGAATAAACACAAAGAATCTCCAGGAGGTAGGAGATTCAAGAAATTAAACCACCCACCGACTACAGTTAAAAGAAAAAAATCTTTACGACGAGAAATTAGGACCGCACAATTTCTTCTCTGATTTTCTCATTTTAAGTAACACTTTGTTCAAAAATTCTGTTCTATAGTTCAGTAGCATATCACACGATGGGGATCTTAGCAACGTTATTGGTAAGTTGAAAATCTGAGCAACTCTCATGGAAGAAACAGGTAACCCAGAAGAGTTCTCAAGCGCTCTGTCTTCAAAAGATGGTCAGTGGCGGCTCCTCACCTCTGCAATGTCAAATGTGGACAAGAGATCACGTGCCAAGGCTATAACTACAATCGAAAATATCAAATGTGTGATCTAACCGCGCCAGGGAGGCGAGACCAGATAGTTTTCTTTCAGCCCCAGGATGGTTTTACATTAGAAGACTGAACGGCAGAGGTATGAAATCAAAAGTTTATCTCTATGTTTGGTTTGTATTCCGTGAATTATTCTCCATTCTCGGCCGATCCGGTTCCTTCTCACTTGAAAGAACTTATAATATAAAGAAACTAAAATATCTGCCTTTACTGCAGCTCCCTTAGGCTCTATCCCTGAATTACCGGCGCTGTATGTACAATTATTCTAATTGTACATACACGTACACGTTTTAACGAGAACTTCTGTACTCGTAGGTGTCACGTGTTTAAATAAAGGATTGATTGATTGATTGATTGACTTGTCAAGAAATAAAAGCAAGTGAAGGTAAATACACCATGGACGGAAAGTATTGACTGGATCCAACTAGGAAAGGGATGACAGTACTTATTTACTGTGATATGGTTAACGAAGTTAGGTCCCATAAGTTTTGTTTGAGTTATTGTATTTTATGAATGGTTATCATCAGCAGTATCATGAAAGTTTTATAAATTATACATGTACTATCATTAATATCACTATCGTAATATTTGGTTTGGACAAGTTCTATGGTGGATGCCTCTCGTAAGTTACTCTAACTTAGTCACTTCTTCTCTTTCTAAACTCTAGATATTGATGAATGTAAATATAAAATCAGCGTCTGCGTCGTGAATGCAGACTGTACGAACACGTATGGTTCTTACCATCCTCGGAGACCCAGGGGCTATTAGTCGATTTCAAGTTAAGGGCAGAGGAGCCCCTGGGGACATTGTCTTACAAGACTAGTTCCAAACTGTCGCACTCGTTCTGGCATCTGATTGGTGCCAGAAAATCTTTGTGTTTTTCTGCCCAATCAGAGTGAAGTGTCCTTTGGAGTCCTTTCGTGTGATTTAACACACACATATAGAACAAGCACTGTTGCTCGCTATGTTTGTTTGGGCCGTGCGACGAAGCTTTGCCAGAGGCGAAAAGTTTCAGTCTCAGCACACATTGTAAGGAAAATCGATCAGATTGTCCGCGAAATCTTACCGGAAATTGTACTGAATACTTTCGCAGGTATCACAAGAGAACGTATTTAAAAGTTTGCGAGGTTCGTGTAAAACATAATGGTTGCAGGCATTGAAATGTCGCTTTAAACGTTAGATGAGATGTAAGCCTAAATCTTTCAAAACTTTTTGTACAATTTGTTGTGACTGAAACTTTTCCAATCCCGTGAAG